CGGGAAACTTCAGGCAACAGCAGCTGAAGTAAAATTGTGATTTCCTCCTTCCAGTTGGGTTTAAGCTTAAAAACAGCAGTGGAGGGCAGCTCCTGATTGCAGGGCCACTTTGCAAGCTTGCTTCCTTCCCCCAGCGTGAAGATGTCCCCTGGCATCTGGGGAGGCTGGAGCCCCGAGGGCCTGGCTCAGTATTGTCCAAAGCGCTTGCAGGGGCAGTTTATGTGTTCACCCCATGCACCAGCATGGTTGATCCAAAACCCATTCTCTGGGGGACACAGCAGGTCTCAGAAAGATGGCCCTGGAGGAGAGGGCCTGCAGAGAAGTGCATATGTGGACAGACCAAACAGGGAGTGTGGAGGGGGACAAAGGTCACTAGATTGGGAGCAGGGAGGTCTGGCTTTCTAGTCCTGGCATTGCCACTGTATGACTTATGGAATCAGTTCCCCGGCTGGAACCTCGCTGAATGCCATGATTCCCTAAACCTTCTAGAAGCACAAATAGAAGCCCTTCTCCCTGTCTTGGGTCAGTGCCCTTCTCTTTGCTGGAGCCCCCCACCCCACGTTTCACAGCCGAGGGCCACTGAAACACCTTCACTCTGAGAGGCCTTCCACCTTCCACCTTCCGCCCCCAATCCCGTCCTTTAGAGGACAACAGGTGCTCTGTCATCCGTCCTTGGCCTTGAGGACTTAGCGTGAACTTCAATCCTAAGCTTTTTGTGCTGCCCTGGCCTTGGTTGTTGGAGGTCAGCCTTCTCTAGAAGCTCCCTAAGGACTGGGGCTTTGGGCTTGGTCATTTCTGTCCCTGGCTGGTGCTTGTGAACGCCCTGCCCAGGTCACACTGTTCAGTGGGCTCCCCACTGACCTGCCAGTGACTTCTGACCTGCAGCATCATCGCCAGACCTGGTGCATCTGTACAGCCGGGTATAGATGATGTGGGAACAAGGCAAGTGCGGGGTGAGGGGTTGTAGCAACGGGAAAGAAAGGGGGGCCTGCCTAGTAGGTTCTGAAACCTTCCACTCCCTTATTCTTCCCTGAAGTCCCTCAAGTAAGTACTGTTGTTTTATTTTGCAAGTGTGGAAACTAAGCTGCACAGAGCTTAAGTACATTCCCCTAAGATTATGTGACTAGTAGGGACCCTGCCAGGATCTGATCACAGATCATCCCGGCTCCAGAGCCTTTGTTCTTGGCTGCTGTGCTGTGCTCCAGCCTAGCAATTCTTTCCTTTATAGAGGAAGACTTCGGCAGACACCTGCTCCCTCTGGGGCATGCCTGCTGCCCTGTGCATGGCTCAGGCTCTGGCCTTGGTTACTGTGCTCTGCAGTTCCTGGTGGGCTGGAGGTTTCAGAGGACTCCCCAGAGAAGAAATCTTGTGGAACCTTCTGGTCCTGGGAGTCCCAGCCCAAGCCCTGAGCCCGAGGTGCCTGCTTTTAGCCCCTGCCATAAGCTTTTGCCCAGTTATGCCATCTGCCTTGAGCTTCAGGCCCTGTCCAGGTGACTCATCTAAGGGGGCATTTGCGTAGGCAGAAAGGCTGGGAGCCAGGTTTCCATCTGGCCAGATGTTTCCAAAGCAGAGGAACCCTTTATCCCATCCTTGACTATGCTGGAGGACAGAGCCCCTAGAGGCGGCTGGAGGGACGCAGTCAAGGTGGTGGGGGGCCTATTACCAAAGAGTTCCATCCAGGTACTAGGGCTGCCCACTTCTGTCCTGGGGCCTGCAAGGGGAATGTAGTTCTCAGGGGAAATAGGACTAGAAAAACTGGGGAATTCAGAATATAAAAAGGTTTTGGACAGGGCGACCAGAGGGGTGTGGGTTAGAATATTTCTGCTTCATCTCTTAAGTGGGTCATGCAGTCTGCTAATCACACACAGTATTGCACAGGAGCTAGCCACATTCTCTAGGGTATGATGGGAAGAGAGAAGTGGGTTCTAATCCTGCCTCTGCCCGTCAGTCACTGTGTGGTCCAACAGAGATCACAGTAGTTTTGTGAATCTGAGCCTATATTTCTTCAGCTAAACATCAAATAATTAGACTCATTGATCTGGAGGCAGTTATATATTCTAGTTAAGAGAAATCAGTCTTTTTTTTGTACCAGGGATCGAACTTATAACCTCACATTTGCCAGGCAGGTACTTACACTGCTGAGCTGAATCCCCAGCGAGAAATCAGCCTTTAATGGAGTTAGACGAGACTGCTTGGTTTAGAATCTCAGCTAGATGGTGTGATCAAAAAATACAGTAAATGCTGAATTTTTAAAAAACATATCACAGTAAAGGACACTGCCGTCAATCCCCACTCCCCAATATTCTCCCTTGCTTCAAACTCTTATATCCGCATTCTTGCTATTTTCTGAAGCAGTTCTGGAATCTTTAGCGGCGTTGTCATGACTGCCTCAGTGTTCTGAATTGACTCAAAATGTTTACCTTACATGGTCACTTTGCCTTTGGGGCAGAGCCAGAAGCAGTCCGGTGCCAGACCTGGTGAATGAGGTGAGGGACGACACGCCTTAGTGCTGTCGTGGGCCTGTCCTTGGCTGGCACTCAGCAGTGGCATTCACCAGATTCTCTGTATTCCACCTTGTGAAGACATTTTCAAAAAAAGCATTTCCAAAACTGATTCAGAAAGTGGCGGGAACAATGGGACGAGTGTGCTCAGAGGGAGAGGGATTCCTGGCCCTGGCTTGTACTGGAATAAATCTGCACGTTTAAACACATCATATTTGTGTTTACCCCTTTGTGCTTTCCCTGTTAGCTCATGACCTTGAGCGAGTTGCCCAATCCGGACGGCAGCAGTGGTCAGAATTCTGCTCCCCTGTTGTTGCAGAGATTTTAGAGGCTGGCACAACAGTTTGACACAACATAACCGTATTTCTCTGTTCCAGTTATAAACTTCAGAGACTCTTTGTCCTACACAAACAGATACAGAGAAAATCATCTTTCTCAGAGAGAAATTCTCGTCTCCTCCTGCACCCCAGTGGGGTTCTCATTCCGGTGGCACTTTGCTGTTGTCACTGCCATGAGCATATAATAGAGAAGCGGGAGAAACCTCCTGTAGGTTTCTTTCACACTCTGGCTTAAAAGTTCAAATGCCTCGTCCTGTTGTTAGTGGTAGGCAGGTATGTCACCAAGCAGTGAGGCTCTTCCACCAACAGGGCACTCCCTTTAATGGAGAAGACAGGAATATCCAGGCAGAATTTTCTTTAAAGCCCCAGAGCTGAAAACACCAGGCCTGTGGGCCTTGGATCTTGTCTGGAGGTTCCTGCAAGGAACATCCGCTGGACTCAGGCTCTCCGAGGGGAAGTCTGGTATCGGGTCTCACTGTGCAGGAACTGAGCCCAGAATGGAAGAAGCCACTGATGTCCCAGGCCCCAGTGTCCCCTGAGTTAACCTGAGTGAAAGAAAGATCAGGTGGCAGAGGCTGGCAGGACTCGAAGATGCCAGCACCATGACACGGGAGGGATTTCCTGTCAAGAGGAAGTAGGAGAGGTTAAGCTGAGCTCAGATTCTTCTTTCTTACTGGGTTTATGAGGAGCCTGATGGACCCTTCCTCACCAGCTGGGTCTCAATTTACCTTTTTGGAAGACAGCCTATATATTCTCATACATTTTTTCCAGAAATCACTTTTCAGAAAGAAAAAAAAAAGTAAGTAAAAGAAACTCTCAGAGGACTGCAGATACAGGCCGGGACCTCCGAGCTGCCAGGCTCTCAAGCGTGCCCCATAGCTGCACCATCCCTTGGTCACTTGTCACTTGAGTGGTAGCAGACACTGCCACTTGCACACGTGGAGCATTTCCTCCTCCAGACAGCTCAGCTAGTCCCCCCACAGCACTGTCAGGGAAATGTGCTCTCCCCATTTCACAAATGAGACCTTGGGGAAGGCTTAGGGTCCCAGCTGATGCGTGACCGCTTTAGGGTGGAGCCATGGCCCCTCTCTGCCTGGATCCAGAATCCAGGAGACCACTTAGACCTTGTCCTCAAAACAACTGTCCTCTAATGAGTTCTTAGCAAATGGGGCGCTCTACAGGGGGAGCCCTGGGCAGTCAGTGCAGGAGGAACAGTTACCCAGGGCTGTCTACTCTGAGTGCCAGTGAGAGCCGAGGGTGGCTTCTCGTGAACAGTCACTGAGGCCCTGGTGACTGTGCGATGAACTTAGACCCTTAGGTTTTGCTAACTTCCCCGAGTCACAGAGATAGGTGAGAAGGGGGGGCGGGTTTAGGGGTGAGGGTACAGTGGGCCGAGCAAAGGGTTCCAGCAGCATGGGAGAGGGGCCCCACCCCGCTTTATGGCCCTTCTCTCTCTGCCCCACTCCGGGCTTCTATGGTGAGGAACAGTCAGGAGCTCCTGGCTTGTGAATCACACCACTAATGCACCCAAGGGAAAAGGGAAGCGGAGAGGGAAGAGGAAAGGTGAGCCATGCAGGCTTCCTCAGAGCAGGAGCAGAGCAGCTGCTTCTGCTCCCTCTGCCCCTCATGCTGCCTGCCCCGCTGCTCCTAATGGCTGACCGGAAGCACCAGGGCCACTTTGAAGTCTCTCCCCAAACCTAGTGCATAAAAATGTTGGAGGTAAATGATGGACTCTGTACTAGTAAATAGACCAGCCCCTCCTCCCTGGTGCCCTGGTCTGATGGTCAGAGAGCCCCTGACCCCCTAATCAGAGTGCTGTGGGGGCGACCACAGAGAAAAAGCTTCAGCCCAGGGCAAATCAGCTGGCAAAAAGACTGCCGTCTTCTTTAAGGTGAAGCTTTTTTCCTTCAAAGTGTGCCTTTTGAATCATCTCTGGTAGTTTCCTTTGTCAATTTTCCAGAACGCTTTGGAACATCTGGGATGTGATCTTTTAAGTCACAGGGGGTGGAAAAGATTAACAGTCCCAGGGCAAAAGGGAGGGGTTTGTTGTGGGCCAGTGTTCAAGTGCGCCCTCTCCAGGGCTCCCAGCTGAGCACTGCAGACTGGCACAGAGGCCTCAGCCTTCCAGAGCTGGCTCCATCCTCCTGCCCTTCCTTTCCAGGATGTGAAAATCTTCCGAGCCCTGATCCTGGGGGAGCTGGAGAAGGGGCAGAGTCAGTTTCAGGCCCTCTGCTTTGTCACCCGGCTGCACCACAATGAGATCATCCCCAGTGAGGCCATGGCCAAGCTTCGGCAGGTGAGTGTCCACCCCGGGTCTGTCCCGGCCAGCCCGGACCCCAGCCCCACAGCTGCAGTCACCTGGGGCCCCAGCCCAGCCTTAGCCTCCACGCAGCTCGACCCAGCACACTGCTCTGACCACTGCCCTGCTCTCCCTGACCCTCCTTTCTGCCTGCCCTTCCCAGAGACACTTAGTCTCCTGAATGTGGGGCAGTACGTGACCTAAGAGGGCATTTAGCACAGGCCTGCCCACCTCCACCTCCCAGCAGGACCCTAAACTTGCCATCACCCTGGAGGTCAGCCTGAGAATAGCCCATTTGGACTGGAGCCGGAAAGGCCCATCTGCCCTCGGCCATTAATTTCTCTGCCAGTTACAGAGCAGCAGGGCTGGGTGCTCCTCGACTGCCATCCTGGGCTGGCCAGGATCTCCCAGGGATCGGGGCAGGACTGAGCAGGGAGCGCACTGAGGCCAGGTGGGAGTGACTTCTGTCCTGTATGTGCAGAAAAACCCACGGGCGGTGCGGCAGGCTGAGGAGGTGCGGGCCCCGGAACACCTGCACATGGACATCGCTGTGAACTTCACGCAGGGGGGCCTGCTGAGCCCCCATCTCCACAATGTGTGCACCGAGGCCGCAGATGCCATTTACACCCGCCAGGAGGATGTCCGGTTCTGGCTGGAGCAAGGTCAGCGGGCAGTGCAGAAGGAATAGAGAGAGGAAGAAACAGAGGTGGAGGAGGGAAGGGGCACCTGGACTGAGCAGTTCTTTCATTCAGTTAAGAGACATTTGTGGAACATCTGCAGAGATGCACTGACTGGGATCAGAGGTGTAGACACCCAGTTCTGCTCCCCAGAGCACCCCACCCAGGGTAGATAAGCTGTGGGTACTCAGTGGTAGGCCTCTAAACCAGACCAGATCAGGAAGGCTTCCTGGAGGAAGTGAGCCCACATAGCCAGTCAGTAAGGGGAGTCACCCAGAGGACAGGGGCCCATTCCAGCAAGGACACAGACTCCCAGGCCCTGTGCAAGGAGACTTCCAGATACTCCCCCTCCTCGCTGCTCCTGCTAAGGACACACAGACGGACACCCTGTCACGAGAGAGGGCACAGGCACTCTGTCTCCCTGCCCATGTCTGCTGCTGCTGCTGCTGCCTCTTAGAAATTAGCTTCAAACCATTCTTGGTGTGAGAATCTCTCTCTTAGGATCCTCAGGAGCTCCACCCAGCTTTGTGTGGTCCCTGGGTGACTTCTAGCCATCTCCCTGCGCCTGTCCCACGACTGCCCTCAGGTTCTGTACAGGAGGGACAGGACAATGTCTCCATCCAGCACCAGGCCCCTGGGCCTTCACTCTGCCAACCAAGCACAGGGAAATGCCTGCCGCTCCCTGGGTAGGGGCTGAGTCTAGGAGTGCCCAGCAGAGCTGTGGTCATGCTCTTCACACACCTGTCCCCAGTGGACCACATCCTAAGGTCCAGGCCCAGTGCCAGCATCTCCTGGTGGCTGTCCTCTCTCAAGGTCACGGAGCAGAGCCCTTAGGAGGCCCCTGTCATCTCCCCTAGGGCCCCTGCACCGCGTACTCTCTGGTGTGGGTTATGTTCGTGCTCCCCCTTCCCTGCACGGCTCCACTCAGGCACCACCCCCTCCTCGAAGCTGCCCTGACACCTGTGTCCCATTTAGAGTGCTGAGGCCAGTGTGGCCAGTTCAGCCCTGAAGTCAGACCTGGTTCCAGTCCTGCTTCCCTTTGTGTTGTGTGGCCCTTGTCGGACTTCTCTGGGCTATTTTCTCATCAGTAAAACAAGAGTGACAGTGCTTAGCTCCTGGGGGATAGAAAGGGGTACGGTGTGTAGAATCCCTGGCACACGTGGGGACTCAGTGGGTGCTGATGTCACCTTTTTCTGCTGCTGGCCGCTCTCATCCTTGCCTCTCTTCCCTAGGTGTGGACAGCTCTGTGTTCGAGGCTTTGCCCAAGGCCTTGGAGCAGGCAGAGCTACCTCGATGTAAGCAGGTGGGGGACCGCGGGAAGCCCTGCGCCTGTCACTACACCCTGAGCCTGGCCTGGTACCCCTGCATGCTCAAGTACTGCCACAGCCGCGAGCGGCCCGTGCCCTACAAGTGCGGCATCCGCAGCTGCCAGAAGAGCTACAGCTTTAACTTCTATGTGCCACAGAGGCAGCTGTGTCTCTGGGATGAGGACCTCTAACCAGGCTTCGAGGGGAGGGGGCCTGGGGATGGCGGCTCAGGACCCACCTCCTTCCCCTGGCCATGGGCAGAACCCCACCACAGGCCTTACTTCCTTCCCAGGCCCCTGGCCCAAAGCCTCAGGGCCCCCACAAGGCGAGACTGTGAAAGGGGGCGCACAGCAGGGGTAACTCGTGAAGGCAGCCCCCATACCTACCCTGTGCCTTCCTTGGGGTCAGAGAGGGACAAAGCAGCTCCCCAAATGTGTACCCCGCCCTCCTCATCTCCCCTACGTGTTCATTTCAAGCAACCCAAATGTGACAGCCTAGAGTTCTTCTATGGAGCCCAGTAGACCCTAACTTAGGGATCTGTGCCTGCCACGCTCACCGCCCCACAGACGTCGAGAAGGACCCCGGCTCCAGGGTCCCCACACTCACTCCCCACCACGAGGGGAATCCTTAGCCCCAAAGAGGGTGCTGTGGCCGTGTGTGGTGGAACCAGCCAAGAAACCTGCCACCCTGAGACCGACCATTGTGCCTTTCTGCAGACCAGGACTTTGCTGCCAGAGCCAGCACTGGCTCCTCTTCCCTCTAAACAGAACTATTTTCTGTAAGGTTCTGGGGCAGCGTGAAGTACAAGGAAAACTTGAATTTCCAGATTTTTAATACGAAGTATTTATCGTTTGTACCAGAAATAAAAAGTTTAAATTTTTACATGACTGATAAGCCTTAGACCTGGAGATCAGAGAGCTTTGTCCAATGCTGCCACCTGGTGTCTGGAGTGCCCACCTGCACCATCACGAACAATCAGGACCTGGACTCAAAGGCAGCCCCAGTGGGCTCTGCCTGTGCAGGAGAATATTCCAAGCCTTGGGTTCCAACCCCAGCACTGAAAAAAAAAAAAAAAAAAAAAAAAATAGAACCCTTGTAAATGGGCCACTACAGAAGTAAGATTGAGGCTGAAACCAAAAATCTGATATTCACATCCAGGTCCTGATGCTTGCTTCGCTGTGAATTCTTGGTCACATGAATTTACCTCTCTGTGCCTTAGTTATAACATTTAATTTATGAGACTAAAGGAATTTATGTGTCAAGCACATAGTGAATGGCCTGCATTCGCCATTACTCATGTTGCTACTGTTAATAAAGAGCGCAGACGTGGCTTCCTCTCTGACACTCGTCACCAAGACACACGTGTGGAGGGCTCTTCACTTCCAAAGTACCTTCTAGTGCAGAAGGCTGTGACAGGAGGTGCAGGGCAGCGGCTGGGGGCTTTTGCAAGGAGGCTGGGTGGGTCGTTCATTGGGGATGGCTTCCCAGAAGACAGGGTGAAGGACAGTAACAGTCCAGCAAAGCAGAGGTAGGAGGCCTTCGGGGGTAGGAAGGTCTCAGCTCCCATGGGGCTCAGCTCCTTAAGGGGAGGAGGCAGAATCAGAGCTTTCCTCCGGGCCTGGGGAGGGACCGGGCTGGCAGGGCTGTCCTGTCTGCTGTGTGCCTCCCAGCACTCCAGGATAGGCTGTGCGCTTGGCCATAGGTGGAGGTCACTTCCCAGGTAGGTGTGCTTTCTGCACTAGGGACCTGCTTCAGCCGAGCCTTGCTGGGGTGGGCTGGGGCACACCCCACTTTTCTGTCCTCCCCTCTCCTGTCCCTCCAGGGCCTGAGCCCTAGGCACTGCTGCAGGAGACAATGCAGTCACCTGGAGAGGACCCATTCCACCCCACATGTGCGCTGTCATCAATAGTGTTAGGGTCCCTGATCCATATATGGCCCCTAAGTGCATTTAAATAATTTTTCATGGACTTTTTTTTTTTTTAGGGAAAAAAAGCAAAACAAAAGGAGGTAGAAATAATACAGAATTTCAAAAAAAGTAACATGACTAGTCAAAAAATAACAGTAAGAAATCTCTAGTTGACAAATTACATACATATCATTGTCTTCAAAGTTGTTCAAGTTACAAAATCAAAGCATAAAAGGGGGCAATCAACAGTGACAGCACAAACCATTCTGTATGATGAACCAACTTAGTAGTATGGTTGTCTACCTTGCACATTAAACATACACACAGTTACATCCTTTAGAGCACTTCCTTTCCCTTTTGTTATCATAATATCTGTTGCACATTTTGGATCTTACTATTCTTTCAGTTTTTTATTGTTTTTTTTATACGAGAGAGACAATACGATATTTACAAATGTGAGTTTGATTTATTTCACTTAGGATGGTCTCAAGTTGCCTCCATTTACCTATAAAAACCTCAAGATCATCCTTTTGCAAAAAAAAAATTTTTTTTTAAATTAATGTTTTCAAGATCTGGAGTGTTTTGCTGACCTTGCAGGAGAAGCACCTGCCAGCCCGCCTGTCTCCTGCCTTGAAGGGCCACTGTGCACTGTCACCACACACATCCCTGCCCCTTCCTCTCCCTGGGAGGATGGGGGTGAGGATTCCCTAAGACTCTGGGGCTGGCTGCACGCCCAGCGAAGTAGACACTGGCTGGGCATCATGGTGGGCTGAGTGGTGGCCCACCAATGCACACCGCCAGCACCCAGCCTTGTCCCTGTCTGTCATGGTGCCTTCAATGCCCCTGCAGTCTGGGCTCTGTGAGATTCACATCTGTGTGCATCACAGTCAGGGCAGTTAGGACAGGCGTAGGTGGCCGCTGTTTGAGGCACGGTCACCCTCAGCAGGTCCTTGTGGCCGTGTAGAAACTCCGGGGAGAGGTCATACAATCAGCAGTCGCCGCTCTGTAGGCGTGTTCTAAATTAGCCCGTTGGCTCCTTGTAGGCCGTCCAGGTGTGGCTCACCTGTAAAGTTGTGTGATTGCCCGAGTCAGCTGGTTAGAACCAAGCTGGGACCCTAACTCCCACCACTTACTCCGTCCACACGACCTCCAAACCCCAATGAGTCCATCAGATTGGCCAGCGGACCCTGGAGAGCACAGCTCGCCTGTGGAGGACACAGGCATGGGGCGGATGAGCCTGGGCGGGTACTTGGGCTTCCCTTTGGCAGGGTCCTGACTGGTCCCCTTTGCTGAGATGAACGGGGAGCCCAGGAGCCCAGACCTCTCAGGTGCCTCCTCCCCTGAGAGGTGTCACCTAAGAGGGTGACAGCAGTTCCAGTCACCCTGGGCAGCACTGCCAGTAGGACTGGGCCTTGCTGTGGACTTTCGGTTTCTCTAGGCTTCTCTCCTTGTAGTCTGGTCAGCCAAGGAAGGTCTGCGTGGTGGAACTGTGGGGCCCCACCCAGAGTCTCCACGGGTCCTGGGTATGGAGGGAGGAGGGGTGCGGTACAAAAGCCCCTCTCGAGGACTCAGCTCAAGACTAGCAATGCCTATGAGAGATGCAGGTGCCAGCTCTGGGTGGTGTGGGTGTGTCACCCACTTTCAGGCCCTCACTGTCTCCACCTGATAAGATATGGGGCCTCCGTAGGTTGCTTCCAGGGTCTTCCCGCCTCTGACATTCAGTGTTAATCACCTAGTACTGTGTTCCAGCCTGGTTCTCACTATTTGGCCACCTTTCCGGCAGCTGAGTTATTTATGAGACCTTCCCTTACAAGCCAGGCTGTAGGGAGAGACACAGTAGTACGCGTGGTAATGTTTGAGGCACAAGCACACAAGCTGTCAGGCAGTCCCTCACATGTGGCTTTGGGGGTGTATGGACCTTCCATTCCCCCGTGTTCCTGAGCCATCAGTGGCTATCAGTTATCCAAAAAAATAGAGGCAAGAGACACAGAAAAATATGCGCCCCCCAGTACTGAAGACTGAACACACGGCCTTTGCACAGAGCCACACCCTCAGTCCTTTATTTTATTTTTTTTTATTTTGAAGGTAGTAGAATACAACAGAACAAGACAGAACAAAGCCAACTGAGACAATGCCAATGAAATTGGCAAAGAACTTCAGAGCAGGATACTGGGATAACAGTAATAGGTTCCATAGTATATCTCGTTATCTTCACAATAGTTGTCCATTCATTCAGGTAAAGCAAAATCAAACCAAAAAAGGAACATTATAAAACCTATCAGAGCAGAATACAAAACAATCAATCATTCTCCAAAGACATGCTCAGAACGCTGGCCCCTAGACTGGGGGGCAGGGGAGGGAGAGGGATGGGACGTTTGAGTCTCAGCTCGCCACCAGTAGGCTCAGGGGAGACACTGACTGGTTCTCTGCCTGGCTCGCCCACTGCTCACTCGCACCTTAGACACTTACCAGGAAGGGAATCCTCAGTCCTTTAAAAAAATTTTTTTTTAATTTTCATTTTGAGAGAGGGAGGATCTTGCTAAATTACTAAGTTGCCTGGGCTGGGCTCAAAGTTATAAGCCTCCTGTCTCAGCTTCCCAAGTAGCTGGAATTACAGATGTGTACCACTGTGCCCAGCTATGTTTCAATCTTGTGGCAAAATCTCTTCTTCAGGAAACCTTAACGTTTGTGCTTTGGCCCTCAACTGATGAGATGAGGCCCACCCTCCTTAATCGGGTCATTGCCTTAAAGTCAACAGATTATAAAGGTGACTTACATCTACAGAATAACTCCACAGCAGCACACAGGCTGGTGTTTGATCCAACATTAGCAGGGTACCAGAATCTAGCCAAATCCCACCACACTACCATCACTTGGTGTTACCATAAAATAGTTGTGTGACTCCTGAGAAACTTGATGCCATTCTGGAGTCTGTTCTCAATTTCACCTGCAGCCAGGTGACAGCTGAACACGGGTCCCCCTCCACCCTCCTCAGCTTCTGGACGGATTGCACCTGGGCTCCTCGCCTTCTGGCTTCAGCCAGTGGGAAATGCCACATGCAGCCACTGCGGGCGGGGAGTGGGGCGCCATCCCCATCGTCCTGCTGCTCCTGTGCCACGCAGGTGGCTTTGGTCCCCTCCTCCCGGGCTCCAGGTCTCCTTTGGCTTCCATGCCAGTGCTTTCTGCCCCTGCCTTTCTGCCCTAGCTCTGCAGTCTTGGCCTTCACCAGGTGCTGGCTGCCTTCCACCTGCTCGCACCCTGTAACTAGCCACACCATCGATCAAGGTGAGCTGACTGTTTCCTGCAGAGCCTGCTGATAGCGACAGAGGTCCCAGCTGGGCATCTCAAAGGACAGATGTGACAAGGAAGAGGCCACAGGCAAGGCAGGAAGTGCAGGAGAAGGTGCAGACTTCAGAAGTTCCCGGTGCAGCAAGGGAAAGGCTGTGGGTCACAAGCTCAGGACCAGGCCTGGGGGAGGAGGGCGGTGCTCTTTGCCCCTCAGGGGTGGCACACATGCCCTGGCCTGACTGTCTCACTGCCTGGGCCCTGGCTCCTGCCGCGTGTCCTGCTGTGACGAGGCTCTGTTTCCTAAGCAAGTGTCACTCTGCTTTCAGGTCCTTCCCATGTTTCTGGAGCCCCCCTGAAGCGTCGCTGCTCCCCACTCCCCCGCCTGTTCCCCAGGACCTGCCTCTCTGGGCCAGTTGTTCTCTCTCTCTTCTGCTCTCTCCTCCCTCTCTGCCGTTGGCCCTGACAGTGCCCAACTCCTCCCCACCCCGAGCACAGAATCCCAAGCCCCAGGTCCTCCGCCTCCTTCTCCCTGCTGCTTCTCAGACAAACCTCCACCCAGCACCTTCCTCCCCAGCACTTCTCAGCCTGGGGGCCCGAGGCTGTGCTGCTGTCCACTGTGATGCATGTCCCAGGGCACCTGCTATTGGAGGGAGGCACCCGTGGCCTCCTGTCTAAGGGTCCTCTCCGCAAGAGCACCGCCACCCTCACTGGCACCTTTCCACCTTGGGGACTCAGTTCGTGCCTCTTCTGCTTGGAACCTCGGCTGTCCATCCAACATCCGGGCGTGTGGCCTCTGCTCCCTTTGCTTGTATCATTCTCCCCCTTCTCACTGGGGAGCTCAGCTGAGCTGTCCCTTCCTCCGAGAAGTCCTTCCTGGCATCTACCTGCAAACGCGGGGCAGGTGTCCCCCACAGCTGTTTCCCATAGTGCCCTCCCAGTGCACCCTCTACTTCCACGTTAGGGCACAGGCCGCAGGTTGAGGGCTTTGTTCACCCATCTACAAGCATCAGCAGACTGTGTGCTTCCTGAGGGCAGACAGCTGGTATACTCCAAGCTGCCGGTCCAGTGTGTAACTTCAGTAGTTTTGAATGGATGCCTGCTGATCTCCATGAGCATGAGTGCACGTGTGTGTGTGTGTGTGTGTGTGT